ATATGTATGATTTTCCCAATGTGGTTCCCGGATCACTGGTGATAGACAGGATGTTTTTATTTGAAATATTGCTGAAGTCATTTATTTTGTTACATTTAGTTTGATCGTGGCAAATAATACTGGTCTTTTACTTATGACAGGTTTCCTTTCGTTACAAGTTTGTTGAAATAATAAAGCTAAATATTAAATAATCACATAGGTGACATATGGGTATGAGAAAAATCACAAGGTTGGTACACAAATAATTGAGGTTTGGGAAGTGCTAGACGAGTGGAAGGCCAGGAGCAAGTATCTTGTAGGAAAACTCCCAACCTGCAAGGTCAAAGGCTCCCAGCTCTCACCCACAGTAAGCAGGAAGCCGGTAGAGGTGAGTTTTAATTTCAGATGGAAAAGAAATTATCTGTATGTGCCAACTAGCAAGGTCTCTATGTTCAGTTTAACCAGTAATTGAGTGTCTACCCTGGAAAAGGAAATATCCCAAGTTTAGGGGGAGAGGGGAGGCAGAGGATCCAAGGCAAACCTGTATAGCAGGAGACTTGGGAGATTATGAGACCCTTAGATCAGGAGCAGTTTTATTGCCTGCTGAGAGGTCAGAGAGGATCAATGTAGAGAAAGGGACATTAAGTCTTCTAGTGAATCTGTTACTGGCCAGGGTGCCTTCCCCAGAAGTTTGCCACTGATTTTATGACAAAAGACAGTTGCAGATGGATGATGGTGAGCAACTATCTCAAATACAGCAAGCGCCAGGCCAAGCATGGTGGCTCACGTCTGTAATCCTTGCACTTTGAGAGGCCGAGGCAGGAAGATGGCCTGAGCTCAGGAGTTTGAGAGCAGCCTGGGCAACATGGCGAAACCCTGTCTCTACTAAAAATACAAAAATTAGCCAGGTGTGGTGGCGCACATCTGTAATCCCAGCTACTGGCGAGGCTGAGGCATGAGAATTGCTTGAACCCAGAGGTAGAGGTTGCATGCAGTGAGCTGAGATCACGTCACTGAACTCCAGCCTGAGCAACAGAGCAAGACTCTGTCTCCAAAATATATATGTGGCAGGCTCTAGATGATGCTGAAAGTTTAAAAGTACTTATTACCATTGTTGGATTTTATTTTCAAATATGAAAACAGAGAAAACAGAGAAAAACTAAATGGAGAAGAGCCATTTCCCCTAATTATATTTGAAACAGAGTCTAGAGATGGAATTGTAATTTTATTCCTTCTTTCACTCTGTGATTTTATGGATTGGGTCCAGGATTGCAAGCCCTCTGGGCTGTGACCCCTCCACTCCTAGCCCCATTACGTCTAAGTGAATCCCTTTGGAACCAGACACCAAAATTCACCTTTCAGTTAAAAGACCTCCCAGTCCTTGTAAACCAAAAAGCTGCTGCCAGGGTGAGGGTTCCTGTTCTCTTCGCTGTGTGTAGCTGTTCAGGCTGCAGAGGACCCTCCACCTAGCACATGCATTTTGTGGGGGTGCAGGTGAGAAATTCCTCACGAAGAGATAAGAAACAAGGCAGAGCGGACCCATGCTACTGAAATAAACCACACATTCTAACAGGTACTTAGGTAGGATGTAGAATCTAAGTCGCCTAAGTCGCCTAAGTCACCCAGTCCTCTAATCACCAATAATTTTCAGTCTAAAAATCATACCCTTTGGATTTTTCTTTTGCTTTTTGTGAATAAATGAACAGTCTTACACTTGATGTCTGAGTGTTGAGTTTCTGTTTAGAACAAGTGAGGAAACTCAACTGAGATCCTTAGCTTGAGTTTAACTCGTCCCTGTGGTCCTGGTCACCGCTGTCATTATAGAGAGAATGATGCCATCATCTACCTTCCCGTGCACTCACCTGCTGCTGGGACCACTTATTTACAGCAGATCTCTGTAGGCTAAAAGGTAAAGTTTCAAGGGTTGGAATCTCTGTACCAGGTGAAGGCTGCACGTAAGTTGATAGGAACGATGGATGAGACCATGTACTTGGGGGAAATATGCAGTGTAAAACTAGCTCATAACTAGGGGTGCTGTCCTATGAAGTGCATATACCAACACAAACCTGCATTTGGACCCAGGACACAACACTTCCAAACTGAGTGACCTTGGACAACCAATTTAAAATCTGATTTTCAATTTCCCTCCTGGAAAAAAAACAAAAAACAAAACAAAACAAAAACTGGGTGATGCTGAGGCTTAAATGAAAGAAGAGGACCTCCACACAGTGAGTCTCTTTGCTCTCTCAACCTTAGCCCTCAGTGCTGTGTCTTTCAGTCTCTTTTCTTTGCCTTTATCCTGCCCCTTTTTTGCCCCACATTTGGTTTTTTAATTCTTTGAACAGCCACAATTTAAAACTAAAGTATATTTTAAAATATGGGTATTTATCAAATACATCTATATCTTCTCTTGTATGAACCCTTAAAATCACTTTTAACATTTACTTTTTGAAATACTCCATGTCTGAAAGCAAAAATCAGTGGCTTTTAAAATGGGTTTGTGTGTTTGGGGCTGGTGGTGGGGTTAGCTTTAACTATTAATAACATTGTAAGTGAATGACTCTTATTAGCAAAAAGATTCTGTTAGTTTAGATTTTGGGATGTGTCTTGAGTGATTTTTCTGGCATGAGGACCATAAACCACAGCCTGCCTTGGGGTGATTACATAATCTCTGCATTCATATCAGCTTCACAACGTGTAAATGTAGCCATATTAATGTTTGCTTGGGGTAATCTAGCACTGGATTGGACTCAGCTCTGCTGGGTGGAATAAGAGAAGACATGGCAGTATCATAGTCACACGCAGGGACTCTAAGATGCTGCAGGAGTAGAGAGCTAATCTGACTTGAGACTTTGAACCAAGCCTGGACAGTATAAGGTCTTTCTACAGGTTCTCACTTCTCATATAGGGTTTGTGCAGCCAAGAGTCATTACAAAATGGTGGTTCCCAGGGGCACATGGTCGCATCACAGTTTATCCTTGTTCAATTCATGTCTCATTTTTCTGAGGTTGTCTGTGATGTAAGACCTATGGAGGAACCTGCTGACTTCTCATGTTTGTTCCATTCAGTCCTTCATTGACCATTTCTTCGAGTGTTCTCTATAAAGCAGGCACATTGTTCATGGTACCCAAATGTGTGAATTCCGGGCCCTGCCTTTCCTGGATGAAAGGTGTGGTGAGAGATGTATCTGCAAGCAAGCATTTAGGCTATGTGCTGCTTCTGGGTATCCAAGGCACTTTGAGGGCTTTAAGCAGGTAGGGCTAACTATTGGTGGCACACAGGAGAAGGAAATCCTTTTTAAGGTATGTGACGTCTGTGGTGAATGTTGAAGGCCAAGGCGTTGACACCTGACTTCCAGCCCTGCAAGTCTGCATCTGCACCCAACCTTGGCTCATCCCCTAATTGCCAGTTTTCTGGTGTCTGAAATGGGAGGACAGTGTCTACCTATCCTATCTCTGGAGGCTGAAGCAAGGCCAGTGAGACAGTGTGGACACTTCCCTGTCTGGGGGTTCTCCCATGTGCCCCAGCAACCTGAGCCTGCAAGACAGTGGGTTGGCTGAGGTTTGAGGTTCAGTGTGTGACTGTGAACTTCAGGTGTGTCCCCTTTAGATCAGACCAAGACATTCTTCTCTAATCGAGTTTGTCATTGTAGTTCAATTCTGAGTAAATCCTAGTTCTTTCTCTTGCCGACTGTGAGCTTGCAGAGATTATTTAACCAATTAGAATCTTAGGTTTCTTATCTGCAAAATGAAGATGATAATTGTATTCGCCTGTTTTCACATTGCTATGAAGAAATCCCTGAGACTGGGTAATTTATAAAGAAAAGAGGTTGAATTGGCTCACGGTTCCACAAGCTGTACAGGAAGCATGATGCTGGCATCTGCTCAGCTTCTGGGGAGGCCTCAGGAAACTTACAATCATGGTGGAAGGTAAAGGGGGAGCAGGCACTTCATGTGGCCAGAGAAGGAGCAAGAGTGAGGGGGAGGGGTGCCATACATTTTTAAACAACCAGATCTTCCTAGAACTCTCACGAGAACAGCACCAAGGTGAGGGTGCTAAACCATTCATGAGAAATCACTCCCATGATCCAATCACCTCCCACCAGGCCCCACCTCCAACACTGGGGATTACAATTCAACATGAGATTTGGGTAGGGACACAGATCTGAACTGTATCAGCAATAGCAAATTCTTCATCAAGTGGTTGTGAGGAGCCATGAGTAGGACCCATCATGTTCCAAACATGGTAAAGGGGTGTCATATGATAAATTATCAAAGAAAATATTAGCAAATATTTTAATTCTATTGTCTAAATTTCTGTCACTTATACTGCAACTTTTACTACCTTTTCAAGCAAACTCTCAATCTAATATGAATATAGAGTTTTGATGTCATATTTCACATATGTTCTATCTGGACCTGTAATGCACATTTAAGAACAACAGGGATGGCTTCATACTCTAACGTGTTCCTTGGCTGCTATGTGCAAGTGTTGTGAGTTTCGAGGACCTCCTGAACTGCATGTTGAGACATGAAAAGAAGCAAGCACATAGACACTTGGCACCACTGGGAAACGGTGCTTTCTTGTGCAGGGATGAAGAATGTTTGTTTATCTGAAAGGAAGGAGTTGACTGATTCATGAACCATTTTCTCTCCTCCAAATGTTCTATGGCTCAAATCCTCCCTGCACTCTGAAGCAGCCCTATCACGGCCCCTGCCATCTTCTCAGTGACAAAGCCCTCAAATGCTCAGGTCTTTCAGACATGGTTGCCTGTTCTTTCAAGGACTTAGGGCAAGGATGTGGGGAAGCATTTCCCTGGACTGAGGGTGGCACTTGCCCGAGGCTTAGGCTGGCACTGCTCTGTAGCCTAAAACTGCATAACCATTTGGCAGTCCCTTCCAAATCCAACCCATCAACCTATTAATTGGGATGGGGATTAATACTGCCAGGAGGTCCTCTGTTTCTCCGTGTGTTCCTTTGGAAGTCTGATGACAGCGTTTTCCACTTGTTTTGTCTCATAGGAACTGGTGAAAGTGGGAAAAGCACCTTTATCAAGCAGATGAGAATTATCCATGGGTCTGGTTACAGCGATGAAGACAGAAAGGGTTTCACGAAGCTGGTTTACCAAAACATATTCACCGCCATGCAAGCCATGATCAGAGCGATGGACACGCTAAGGATACAATATGTGTGTGAGCAGAATAAGGTAACGTGCTTAGCGGGTACTTGCCCTATTTGTGAACGTGTGCCTGCCCACTCTGGTTAGCACAAAGATTCCCTGAGTGCTTTGGTCAGATGCCAGAAGAAGCTCTTGATCCCTGGGGTGGCATCGAGAGGAGTTTGAGGAATTTAGTTACCCCCTGGTCTTCTTTCTGCAGGACTTCTCTCATGGTGCTAGCATGAGGCTACCCAGCATGCAGGGATTCCAAAGTTTGGGCTGTTATTTAGGTTGCTTATTTCCGGCACAGAGAAAAGGAAGTCATACATTTTCTCTTTCTGCCTAGAGACCCAGTTAATTTCTTCACTGGAGCCATGGGGACATTGGGTTTACAGTGGCCAGCGTTTCAAGAATTCCCAGTCTCAGGAAATGTTTTCACTAATTGGTGCAGACTACTGAGAAATCAGTGGGTTTTGTTTGTTTGTGTTGGGAGTTCACCCATCTTGGGAACTAAGCGAAGGCTCATGAGAACAATGCTAACGGCTCAGCCAGCAATGTGCTTCCGTAAAGTGCTGGTGTCAAGCTGCCGTTTGCTTTCCCCTCACCACCAGTTATTTAAAATAAAAATCTGCTGAAAACCGGAGGAAAATAATGAGGCAGGAATGAGAGAGAAGGAAAATAAAATTTTATATGGTACACTGGAATGCAAATCCAAAGGAGAATAATACTGTGTCTGAGTTCATTAAGCAACTATATTAGAAATCAGAGTTTATTTAAAATAATTGATACCAAATTACAACATGACATGATGATAAAGAGAAAAATTCTGTGTCAGATGGGTCTCTCGTGGGTCTGTGAAAAAGGAATTTAGCTAGTAAAATGCCAGAATTGCATGGGCTTTAATATGGACCCCTAAGGACAACTTTATTATGAACTTGTGGCACCTACACTCATATATATATATGATTAAAAAGACTGGACGTAGTGGCTCACACCTGTAATCCCAGCACTTTGGGAGGCCAAGGCGGGCCGATCACGAGATCAGGAGATTGAGACCATCCTGGCTAACACAGTAAAACCTCATCTCTACTAAAAACTACAAAAAATTGGCCGGGTGTGGTGGCAGGTGCCTGTAGTCCCAGCTGCTCAGGAGGCTGAGGCAGGAGAATGGTGTGAACCCAGGAGGCGGAGCTTGCAGTGAGCCAATATCGCACCATTGCACTCCAGCCTGGGCCACAGAGCGAGACTCCGTCTCAAAGGGGGAAAAAAAAAGTTTTAAAGCAATCAATTTAAATTTTTATGGGATTACATAGTAAAAAACAGTAGGCCCCAAATTTTAGACTTACCTTTACCTCATCTCTACAATCTATGTCTTTACCATCATGTCCTTGCAGCCCTGAAGAAATGAAGGAACACATCTTGCCTACAATTTCACCCTGCAACAGAGTTATGCTAAAAACTGTGTGGGGTGGACCGGGCACGGTGGCTCACGCCTGTAATCCCAGCACTTTGGGAGGCTGAGGCAGGTGGATCATCTGAGGTCAGGAGTTCGAGACCAGCCTGGCCAACATAGCGAAACCCCGTCTCTACTAAAATTACAAAACATTAGCTGGGCATGGTGGTGGGCACCTGTAATCCCAGCTACTAGGGAGGCTGAGGCAGGAGAATCACTTGAACCCAGGAGGTGGAGGTTGCAGTGAACCGAGATTGTGCCATCGCACTCCAGCCTGGGCAACAAGAGTGAAACTCCATCTCAAAAAACAAAACAAAACAAAACAAAAAAATTGTGTGGGGTGAATTAACCTACAGCAAGGGTATCCAATCTTCTGGCTTCCCTGGGCCACACTGGAAGAATTGTTTTGAGCCACACGTAAAATACACTAACGCTCACAATAGCTGATGAGCTTAAAAAAAAATTGCAAAAAATCTCATTCTGTTTTAAGAAATCTCATTCTGTTTTATGAATTTGTGTTGTGCTGCATTTAAAACTGTCCTGGGCTGCATGTGGCCCAGGGGCCATGGGTTGGACAAGCTTGGCCTACCGTATATCTGGTGTGAAGTAAGGTGAGAGGCACACACTGAGCCACTAGGAGATTCTAGAAGTGACTGAGATGATTCCTTTAAACATTGCTGTATCTTTTTGAAAAGGTACAGTTCTTTTTTTACTTACCCTTTCTAATGTACTCTCAAAATTAGGCTTTCTGTGGAGATTTAAGATTACTTCAGAGAAGTGGCATGGCAGGAATGTTCTTGGGGGTGATTTCAGTTCATCTGTTTTCCCCTGTTGTAAAATGCGTTTTGTTTACCAGTCGTGGTGAGGTGACTGGGCGAAGCTTGGAATTCAAGGATGGGTTTGTAAACAGACCCACTGGGGAGAAAAGGCTCATGTGTAAGCCACTTCTGCTTACGTTGGCAGCAGCGTTTGTAAAACCTAATCAGCTTAGTTATCAAGGCTTTAGGTTTTTGCTTTTGTTTTGTTTTTCCTCTTGATCTTCTAGACGTACTTAGTTTATATTTTAAACAAAATGGTTTTATGTGGTTTGACATCTACCACTGTCTCCTTTTCTCTTGACCTTAATTCTTTTGTCTAGGCCATCTCCGTTTGCCCGCTAATCTGTATTAGTTTCCTAGGGCTGTTATAACAAAGTACTTAAGATTGGATGGCTTAAGACAGAAATTTATTGTTTTTACAGTTCTGCAAGCTAAAGGGCCAAAACCAAGGTTGATTGGTTCTGACTGGAGGCTCTGAGAGAATCTGTTGCCGGCTTTCCCTGGCTTCTGGTGGTGGCTGGAAATCCTTGCTGTCCGTTAGCTTGTAGACACTTGCCTCCAACCTCTGCCTCTGCCTTCGTCTGGCATTCTCCCCCGTGTCTGTGTGTCCACGGCACTGTCCTCTCTGGGTCTGTGTCCAAATTTCCCTTTTCTTATAAGGACACCAGTCGCTGGATTACGGTCCACCCTAATCCAGTATGACCTTATCTTATCTTGCTTGCATCTACAGAGACCCTCTTTCCAAATAAGGTTACACACTCTGAAGTTTTGGGTCAGCATGAGCTTCGGGGGAACACAATTCAACTCCTCTGGCTCCCCAAGATTCATGTCCATCCCATGTGCAACATACATCCACTCCATCCCAACATCCCTAAAAGTCAACCCATTCCAGCATCAACTCTAAGACCCTAATTCTAATCCAAATATCAACTCAAAAAGTCCCAAATCAGGCTGGGCACAGTGGGTTTTGCCTGTAATCCCAGCACTTTGAGAGGCAGAGGTGAGTGGCCATCTCTTGAGCCCAGGGTTTTGAGACCAGCCTGGGCAACATGGTGAAACCCCATCTCTAAAAAAAAAAATACAAAAATTAGCCGGGTGTGATAGTGCATGCTTGTAATCCCAGCTACTCGGGAGGCTGAGGTGGGAGGATCCACTGAGCCTGCGAAGCCGAGGTTGCAGTGAGCTGAGAATGGTGCCTCTGCACTCCAGCCTGGGGACAGAGTGAAACTCTGTTTAAAAACAAACAAACAAACAAACAAAAAATCCCAAATCTCATTGTCTAAATTAGATATGGGTGAGATTCTGGGTACAAACCATCCCGGGCAGGATTCCTCTCCATCCATGACTGTGAAACTAGGATACAAGTCCATTGTACCTCCTGTCTCCTCCTTACTTGCCATGTCTGGCTCAAGTATCTCAATTCCTGTTGTATAAACTTTCTCAGACACCTGAGATGAACTGAATGCTAAAATGGCTTAAGGATAGGCAGAAGGTGGAATGGAAAGAACACTGGATTGGCTCTAAAAAATCTGGGCTTTGCTCATGGTTCCACTGTGGGTCTAGGGCTGGAGTCTGCAAACTTTTCTGTAAAGGGCCAGGGAGTCAATATTTGTGGGCTATATGATCTCTGTTGGAACTACCTAGTTCTGCTGTTGTAGTGCAGAAAGCAGATATAGGCAATATCTAATAAGTAAACAAATAAGTGTGGCTCAGTTATAAACTCTACTTACAGAATTTATAGTAAGAATAGTAAGTTAAGAATACAGTTGAGAATAGTAAGAACTATTTTTGACTCATGGGCCATGCAAAAAATCCACAGTCCATGAATGGATTTAATCAATGGGCTGTACTTTGCTGACCCTGGTCCTGGGGAAGCTGTACTGTTTCTGTTTTTCTATTTTCTTATCTGTTGAATGAGACATGCTCTGTTTACTTTATAAGCCAATATGAGCAAAAGGAAGTGATTTACAAATTAAATGACCCTCGAGAAACACAAGGTTATTATTGAGGCAAGTTCAAAAATCAGAAATAGGCTCATTTTCTTTTTATTACTTGTTTAGGTCATTTTCATCAATTTATTCTCTATCATTTTCCTGTGGCTATTATTTCTAATCATTTTTTCTCAGGGCTAGTCTTGATTCCAAACATGAAACTGTAACAAAGTACCATGCTTAGGTCATAAAATGATAAAATGATTAGTGGTTCAGACGTATTCAGTGATAGTTTAGGAGGCATGCTATATGTTATCTTCTTTACAAAGTATTGTATAACTTGAAACGATTAGTTATGGCAGGGATGAACAAAACTTTACCTTTTATTTTCACAGTGGTGCAGTCTTCTCCTCATTTCTTATTGCTGAGTATTTCTGTATTATCTGCTGTTTTTTTCCGTTTGTTTCTGTTTCTGTTTCAGAGCTACATTTTCTTATGTATGTAGAAGAGAATTAAAAGTGGTTTTAGAGGGTTTTATTTTAATTGTTAGTGAGATTATTGCTCAGCTAGGCTGTTGAAAGTCTTTGCCTATTACTTGACAGGCCACTTATTAAAGGAAATTTATCAGAAATTTAGTTCCGCATTTGTTTTTTTTAACTAACATGTTTTTTCAATTAAGACATAGCCTTGAAGATTTTTTCTTATACCTTGCCTGCTTATTTTATTTTTTTATTTTTTATTTTTTATTTTTTATTTTTTATTTTTTTTGAGACGGAGTCTCGCTCTGTCGCCCAGGCTGGAGTGCAGTGGCGCGATCTCGGCTCACTGCAAGCTCCGCCTCCCGGG